CGAAATGGACGTTGTCCGAAATTACATAAACCTATCGGATTTATTCTAATGGGGGTTCCAGGCACCCAACCCCAAGTTTCCCATTTTACAACCATTTAGACCCACTAAATATATATATACTGTATAATGTTATGGTAAATATCATAAACACACATAGGCATGGCTAGGTTTATTACAAAGTGATGAAAAGGATAATGTAAAGTGGGTAGTCCACAAAACATGTAGCTATGTCTCTCTTTATTTGAGTGCCCCGTCAAAGAAGTCCGTTTTCTCTCTTAATCTTAGAGTGCAGTACACCAGACACTTATTTATTTCTTAGTAATGACACAGAATTTGAAATTGCAACTGGGGTTGCAATTGTTGAGGCAACTTAGATATGTCTGATTACAGTTGGAATATTCAAGATCCATTGTGAGTGATGTTTAAAGCTTCAACTGTCTTTATGGTTGGTAAAACTTGTCAAGTCTGTTAGTCTGAGTGGCATGTGTGAGGCCTTGTGTTTGTACAACCTCTAAATATATAAATATATAATGTTATGGTAATTATCAGAAACACACATAGGCATGACTAGGTTTATTACAAAGTGATGAAAAATATACCACCAATACTGTACAGTGGGTAGTCCACAAAACATGTAGCCATGTTTCTTTATTTGAGTGCCCCATCATAGGAGTCCGTTTTCTCTCACTTCAGGACTCCTGAGTCCTTCGTTTTCTCTTAATCTTAGAGTGCAGTACACCAAATACTTCTTTATTCCGTAGTAATGACACAGAATTTTAAATTGCAACCCCAATTGCAACTGGAGTTGCAATTGTTGAGGCAACTAGATATGTCTGAATACAGCAAATGTGTCATTGTCAATTTGTGGGTGAAAGATTTTATCCTCAATAGATGTAGGTTAACATTACACCTGCAGGCAAATGTTTAAAAAAAGCCTAATCAAGGAAGCATATTCCTTTAACACAATATCTGACCAGTATGGGGGAGGACTACTGGTTCTCCGCCAGGGGTCGTGAGTGGTGGCCCAGCAGGCGCCACGGATTTTGGGGTACACGGACGATACATCGATATTGTTCGGTCGGACGTTAACCGGCGCATGATTGTAATCAATAATGAAAAATTAATAAAGTGTTATTGTGCACTTACCTTTAATGTATTCAGCTGAATGCACACAGGGCCTCAATTATTTTTTAATTAAGCATGGAGACTACATTAATTGGATGAAGCAGAGGAGGAAACAGGGCCGTCGTATGTCCGGGCTGTTGTAAGTCGAATATGTCGTAAGTCGAGGATACACCGTATTTTGTACATTCGCCGGAAGATTCGGACATTCATCTTGTGCGGACAGGTGGTCCCCCCTTTTAGTCCGGATCTTCTAGGGTTCAGTGTGTGTGTGTGCATTTTTTAAGAATAATTAATGGTTTATTGAAAGGCTGAAAATATACAGTAACATAATTGGGGAATGGGTCTCTTTATTTACAAATAATATACAAGTAACATAAGTGATACAAATATGATATATAATAACTAGATGTGAGAAGCTCAAACTACAGGGCATTTCAACATAGTGACAGTGCAAAAAGTAAGATTGGCTGGGAGTGAATACACTGGTTGATTACAAGTTATTGATAATTTTACAGTGGTTGGGACTGGGCTGTTCTTATATCGATCTGTACATGCTCGTATGGGCTGGAAGCGGTTGTGGTGTCGAACAGCAATTCTCTGACGAGGGATCTCGGGTGGTAGTAGGAGCCGGTGTCGAGGATGGTGCAGAAGCTTCTCACCAAATTTGCAGAAGAGGGCGTGGTGATGGTCAGTGAGAGCCTAGAGGATCAGTGTGTTGAGCGCTTCTTGATATGTGGAGTAGGAAGGGGAGAGAATTATCTTGCATTCCCTCTTTTGCACTTTTTCTAGGTGTTTACGTAGTGTGGCATTTAGGGAGGAAGACCAGGTAGGGGAGGCATAGGTGAGCTTGGGAAGTGTGAATGTTGTGTAAACACTGAGGAGCTCGGAAATTGGAGGATTTGACAACTTCACTGACGTGTGGTTTCCAATTTAGTTTGTTATCTATGGTAACGCCGATGAGCTTAGTGGAATCTACAACCTGGAGTGTGTTGGGACCTAAAGTAATGGAAGGGGGCGGGACAATGTCGGAGGAGAGGTTGATGTGCTTAACCATGGTCTTGGTATGGTTGATTGTGACGTGGTTGTTGGTGGCTCAGTTTTGGAGACTGTTCATCAAACCTGTGTGTGTGTGTGTGTGTGTGTGTGTGTGTGTGTGTGTGTGTGTGTGTGTGTGTGTGTGTGTGTGTGTGTGTGTGTGTGTGTGTGTGTGTGTGTGTGTGTGTGTGTGTGTGTGTGTGTGTGTGTGTGTGTGTGTGTGTGTGTGTGTGTGTGTGTGTGTGTGTGTGTGTGTGTGTGTGTGTGTGTGTGTGTGTGTGTGTGTGTGTGTGTGTGTGTGTGTGTGTGTGTGTGTGTGTGTGTGTGTGTGTGTGTGTGTGTGTGTGTGTGTGTGTGTGTGTGTGTGTGTGTGTGTGTGTGTGTGTGTGTGTGTGTGTGTGTGTGTGTGTGTGTGTGTGTGTGTGTGTGTGTGTGTGTGTGTGTGTGTGTGTGTGTGTGTGTGTGTGTGTGTGTGTGTGTGTGTGTGTGTGTGTGTGTGTGTGTGTGTGTGTGTGTGTGTGTGTGTGTGTGTGTGTGTGTGTGTGTGTGTGTGTGTGTGTGTGTGTGTGTGTGTGTGTGTGTGTGTGTGTGTGTGTGTGTGTGTGTGTGTGTGTGTGTGTGTGTGTGTGTGTGTGTGTGTGTGTGTGTGTGTGTGTGTGTGTGTGTGTGTGTGTGTGTGTGTGTGTGTGTGTGTGTGTGTGTGTGTGTGTGTGTGTGTGTGTGTGTGTGTGTGTGTGTGTGTGTGTGTGTGTGTGTGTGTGTGTGTGTGTGTGTGTGTGTGTGTGTGTGTGTGTGTGTGTGTGTGTGTGTGTGTGTGTGTGTGTGTGTGTGTGTGTGTGTGTGTGTGTGTGTGTGTGTGTGTGTGTGTGTGTGTGTGTGTGTGTGGGTGAAAGTGTGAATGTTGTGTAAACACTGAGGAGCTCGGGGGCAGGAACTCCGAAGGACTTGAGTCGGCAGAGGAGGCGGAGATAGAAACTGGAGGAGTTAACAACTTCACTGACGTGTGGTTTCCAATTTAGTTTGTTGTCTATGGTGACGCCGAGGAGCTTATTGGAATCTACAACCTGGAGTGTGTTGGGACCTAAAGTAATGGAAGGGGGTGGGATAACGTCGGAAGAGAGGTTGATGTGCATAACCATGGTCTTGGTATGGTTGATGGTGACGTGGTTGTTGGTGGCCCAGTTTTGGAGACTGTTCAATAAATCTTGAAGGGCGATATAGTTGGGAGAAGAATTGTTGTCACTGATCCCAATGGTGGAGTTGACATATTTCCAGCGAGCAGGAGTTTCTCTTAGGGCATCATTGATAAGCATAAGGAAGCACAGTGGTCCCATCTTGGTGCGTGTGTGTGTGCGTAACGGTAAATTGAAAAAGTTCTGCAGCCCGAAGGCTTAAAATTACATTGGACATAAATGCCTAATTAAATACATTAGTGGTTTAACAAAAGCCTTCATTAGAGAAAGGTAAAGGAACATACAGTGAACATACTGATTAATGTTTACAGTGGAGGTCACGTAGATCATGTATGCTGAGGTGTTGAACAGCAGACACGTAGTGTAGTAACTCCTTCACAGATGGTATTGTGAGGGGCATCACGTGGTGTAGTAATTCCCTCACAGATGGTGCTATGAGGGGCTTGATGTGGTGTAGTAATTCCCTCACAGATGGTGTTATGAGGGACCTGAAGCAGTGTACTAATTCCCTCACAGATGGTGTTATGAGGGGCATCACGTGGTGTAGTAATTCCCTCACAGATGGTGCTATGAGGGGCTTGACGTGGTGTAGTAATTCCCTCACAGATGGTGTTATGAGGGACCTGATGCAGTGTACTAATTCCCTCACAGATGGTGTTATGAGGGGCATCACATGGTGTAGTAATTCCCTCACAGATGGTGCTATGAGAGGCTTGACGTAGTGTAGTAATTCCCTCACAGATGGTGTTATGAGGGACCTCATGTGGTGTAGTAATTCCCTAATAATAATAATAATAATTATGCAATAATAATAATAATAATAATAATAATAATAATAATAATAATAATAATGATGATAATAAAGACCCACAAAGAAAAAAAAAGACCAAGAGTGAGAAACAATATATGTATGTTGTGTTGTCAATGTTAAGAGAAACAATTGAGACCCTGCAATTGTGTGTAAATGAGGCAGAAAGTCAGATCAGCAACCTGGGACATGGTTACAATTTTTGTGATGCCCTTTGGCAGCAGGGTCTATCATTAGACAACAAACTATGCTTCCAATATCTTCCCAGGCGGTAGTACAGTCGACCCTCGTTAAAATGGACTAATAGGGGGGGGAAGGGTGTCCGTTTTAGCCGATTGTCCCAATTAACCGATTTAGGGGTTAATATTGCATTATACAGCTATGTGTATGTTTATTTGAGTGCCCCGTCATAGGAGTCCGTTTTCTCTCACTTCAGCACTCCTGAGTCGTCCGTTTTCTCTTAATCTTAGAGTGCACCAGAGCCTGTTATATCTTAGTAATGACACAGAATTTGATATTGCAACTGGGGTTGCAATTGTTGAGGCAACTTAGGTATGTCTGATTACAGTTGGAATATTCAAGATCCATTGTGAGTGATGTTTAAAGCTTCAACTGTCTTTATGGTTGGTAAAACTTGTCAAGTCTGTCAGTCTGAGTGGCATGTGTGAGGCCTTGTGTTTGTACAACCGCTAAATATATAAATACAGTATATAATGTTATGATAATTATCAGAAACACACATAGGCATAATGAGGTTTATTACAAAGTGATGAAAAGGATACTATACAGTGGCTAGTCCACAAAACATGTAGCCATGTCTCTTTATTTGAGTGCCCCGTCATAGGAGTCCGTTTTCTCTCACTTCAGGACTCCTGAGTCGTCCGTTTTCTCTTAATCTTAGAGTGCACCAGGGACTTTGTTATTTCTTAGTAGTGACACAGAATTTGAAATTGCAACCCCAATTGCAACTGGGACAATCCTAGAACCAGAAATTTGATATGGACAGTTCAGATTTCGTCCGATTTATCCGAAATCCGGATTAAAGGAGTCCGAATTAACGAGGGTCGACTGTACCTCCCTTTTTGGTAGCTGCCTACTACCTACCCCTATCGCTCGTATATCCATCCAACCTATATTTGAAGCTATCCAGTGTATTCGAGTTAATGATGATGTTTGGTAACTTGTTCCACTCATCCACAACTATATTTCCAAACCAATGTTTACCTATCTCGCACCTAAATCTAAACTTGTCTAATTTAAAAATATTGCTACGAGTTCGCTCCTGGTTGGATAGTTTGAGTATGTACCGTTGTTACATCACCTTTGTTTAACTCTGACTTCCATTTGTACACCTCAATTATATCGCCCCTCACTCTTCATCTCTCGAGGGAGTGCAAATTAAGATGCTTTAACCTGTCTCTGTTATCAAGGTTCCTAATGCCTGGGATTAGTCTTGTCATTCTCTTCTGAATTCTTTCTAAGGATTCTATATCCATTCTGTAGTACAGTGACCAGAACTGAACCGCATAATCTAAGTGAGGTCTCACAAGCGCAAGATATTAGTTTTAGGATAACCTCACTAGTCTTGTAACCAACACTCCTTTGTATGAACCCAAGTACTTTGTTAGCCTTGTTTTGAGCAAATACACATTGTTGTCTTGGCTTAAGATTCCTACTTATCATTACTCCTAAGTCTTTCTCACAGTCGGAGTTCTATATAACAACATTGTTTATCTGATATCTGGTTTCTCTGTTTACATCTCCTAGACTTAGTACTTTACATTTGTCCAATTTAAATTTCATATCATTTTTCAGACCATGCAAAAAATTTGTTTTGATCTTCCTGTAGTTTTGCGGAGTACTCCTCAGATTTAATTACTCGCCCTATTTTAGTGTCGTTAGCAAATTTACTTACGTTGCTGTCTACACCTATATCTATGTCGTTTATGTATATAAGAAATGGTAGTGATCCAAGTACTGAGCCTTGGGGTACTCCACTAGTGACGTTACCCCAATCGGATTTAGTACCGTTAATGCTTACTCGCCGTTTCCTGTTTTGTAACCATGCCATAATCCATTTTAGAATATCTTCTCCAATTCCATGAGCCTCTACTTTTCGTATTAGTCTTTCGTGGGGGAATCTGTCGAAGGCTTTGTTAAAGTCGCGATATACCACATCATAATCGTGTCCGTCGTCCACTGATTTGAAAACAGTTGAAAAGAATGTTAATAGATTAGTTAGACATGAATGCCCACTTGTGAAGCCATGTTGGGAGTCAACTTGTGCTACTCCAGGTGATTTTGAATAGAGCTTGAAATTATTGCTTCCAGCAATTTGCTTACAATTGATGTTAAACTGATTGGATGGTAGTTAGAGGATAGTAATCTATCTCACTTCTTGAAAATCAGTATCACATTTGCTATCCTCCAGGATTCTGGTACTACACCTGAAATGTAATTGACATAGATACATGAGTAGATAGAGAATATGGATTGAACTTTGTATAGATGATTTATATTTTACTTCCAAAGAAAAAATTTAACTAACATCATGAACTCTTACAACACTGTACACTGTAAAATAATTTTTTTATATGTACCCTACAGATTTTATGTACTGTCTCTTTTCAGTACCTACACTGTATGTGTATTTATGAAGCATTAGTCATTCTTGAAAACTCTTGGAACTGGTGCAGGGTGGTTGGAATTAAGAGCAACACAGCTTCTCCCTTCATATCCTATCACTTGTTCGATCTAACTGCTGTAACAAGTGTGTTCTGTAATGGTGTTCCCTTGTACAACATAAGCATCATGACTATATTCACCCATTGAGTTTTCATTTTTTATATGCTAGCACCACATGCCCTAATAATGTGACTCCTCTTTTATGTTGTACTTGTTTGATGGAATGTGTTTGTTACTATATCACTCTGAGATCATGAGTTTCTTTTCTTCTTTGTTTCTATGCAAGTTATTTGAATATGCATTGACAGTTGCTAATGAATTGCCTTATTTTTTCACTTTTTATGATATTAAGCTTAGAGAGTTTTAGGTACCGGGTAATTACTGTAAGTAAACCATTATGTGTTGCTCAAAGTAATGAATATTTTTGTAGTGTGCATTGTATTTGCTACTTGATCATAAATTATTATGGAAAATGCTGAAGTCTTAGAATCTGTCCTTCAAGTGAATATGTATTTTACAGGCTCTGACAGTGACAGGTTAAGCATGCACCATGAAGATCACTTTAGTGCTGCTCAGCCAGCCAGGATCCTTGGTGGGGGTCTGCCTTATTGTGCTGAATGGGCTGAAATCTGCAAGTGTGCAGGAACAGAATTGATACAGAACCTAGGAAGAGCCGGGGAAATGCGGGCGAGCAGATTTCGCTCCGTGTGTTGGTTGATATATTTAAAAATACTGCCTGATGATCATACACAGGTAAAGTATAGGACTTTTGGATCTTAATATTTTTTTCTGCTGAATCTGATCTAGATTGAATGAAAGAAAAGTACTCTATTATAGTCCTGTCTTGTGTGAGTGTATTGTATGCATTATATATGTACAGTATGTATATTATCATCATTAACTCGAATATGCTGAATTGCTTCAAACATAGGTTGGATGCTCATATGAGCAATAGGGGTTGGGTGTAAACGGGACTGCCCAGTATGGGCCAATAGGCCCGCTGCAGTTTCCTCCATTCTTATGTTCTTATGTTATGTGTGTGTTTGCATACATTTATGTATGTTTTATGATCTGTAAGTTTATGCTCTCTTAAATGTGATTGGGTGTTTGTGTACATTTTCTTCCATTTATGCTTTAAGAATCATCATATTGTATTTGTTTATGCAAATATTTACTCAAAAGTCTTTTATATTAAATCTTGATTATTTATATGTACAGTAACTTGGACCTGTTTATTGGTTATACATCATATTCAGTGTTTATTAGGAAAAAAGTGAAGAAAAGACATGTTTTATGATATTCAAATTATAAGTTTTCTGTCAGGTTTAAAGAGTCCATGAATTCAGAGACATACAATAACTTGGAATGAGAGTAAATACAGTACAGTATAAGGTTTTGTCAGTGTTCTTGTGCTTTATTTCAGTGGTTAAAGGTGATTCGGGAGGAACGTGAGAAATATGAAACCATAAGATTACATCTCATGGTGACACCTGGGCTAGGTGATGAATCTCTTGATCCTTTGTTAAACAATCCTCTCTCACAGCATGAACAGGTGAGTTACAACTTTATTGAATACGGGAACTAAACGCTTTTCTCGTTACATTAATTTCCTTGTGGTTTGAAATCTTGCAATATCATTTTAAACAGATGATTATTGGTTTACAGGTATTTTGAAAATCTATCGAGTTTGTTTGGCATGAATATATTATTTGTAAAATGACTTTCATATTTTGTAATGAAGCATAATTTATTAATGGGCAACTATGTAGAATATGGATAATTTCTAAATACAGCACAACAGTTCCCATATCATCTGTGGATTTTCAGTCTGTGATTTATTGAATTGTTATGCAAAGTATATTCATGCCTTAACTTACACAGTGGTTAGGTTCTTGAGAACACCATGCAAATAGAAACCATGAACAAAGGTCCTATGTGAAATGGGGTTAGGTACCAGGCTCACAAAATTACCTACCTCATACATCTAGTAAGGTGCTTACAAAAAAAAAATAAATGCATTTATAATTTTAAGGATACAGGGCTGTATTATATAAGAACCCACTGGTTAATGAATAGGTTAGGGACTGAAGAACCAGTTCATAAGATGGTTGTTCAAAATCCAAAAGCTAATTCCCTTTAGGAAATATGTAATTACAGTTGGGTCTTCATTTACGCGGTCAATTGAATCCGTGGAGTACCGCGTAAAACGAGAAACGCGTAAATGAAATAACAGAACATATGGGATTAATTGAAATAGAGACTGGGCCGACCCCCAAACTCCACTTTTTCCCGACACAATACGTACGTTGTAGTAAAAATAACATATTAATTTTATGATGGTATGCACACATAATTAATAATTAAGAGAAATATCAATAATATTAGGTTTTTTAACACTTACGTTAGTAGAAAAGCTGGGCCAGCAAACGTGGATGGCGGCTGGTTCCGAGGCAGAGGGCAGATTAGTTGCCCTCCGGTGAATCACTTTCACTTTCACTACTTGCAGAGGTTTGCAGGGCCTCCCAGACAAACCCCTCAAAGTCCATATCCTCACTGTCAATATCACTATCACTGACTTGGGCTGGCTGTGGTTGTGGTGGGTTGCGGGTGAGGAAGTCCTCAATACTACGTTGACGACTAGCATTGATGTTGTCGAGATAGATCTGGATACATGGCTCCATAAATTTCGTCAGGTGGTTTCTAGACGCTTCATACCGATGCTTCTCTGGGACGTTGGCAAGGATGAGCTTAAGTTTCTCCCCCAACTCGATGATTTCCTTCACATCATCATGGCTTAGTCAAGGTAATTCAATGTTTTTCTCTGGTGGTGGGGGTCCCGCGGCTGCCATTGTGAGTTGTGAGGGGAATAGCGGGCACAAGAGAGAACTGTATGCGCGACTGAGAACAATGAGACAGGCCCAGCTAGGTCATCGACTTCTTCCCTCCCACGGCAGGGCACATCATATTACATTAAACCAATCACAGCTAGCGGGGGAGGGAGGTAAGGATGCGTGGCCCACTCACAGTCCGATACGTCATATGACGTCACCGATAACGCAACAGCGACATACTGCGCAACCTTACTCACGCCGCTTACCCTCGCTTTGGTCAAACATGGCGGGAGGTTTGAATCCAAAATGGTGCAGTGCGGCTGGACCGCCAGCTGCTCTCCGCGTAAATGACCAAATTTACCGCGTAATTAAAGCATTTCAATTCCGGCAAGGCCCCGCGTAAATGACCAAATGCGTAAACCAAAACCGCGTAAATCCAGACTCAACTGTACAGGTATCCCTCGTTTAACCATTGTTCACTTAGCAATTAAATTTTTTTAACACCCTTTCTCGTCAATTTTTGGTCTAGCGATCTTCGACTCGCTGGGAAAAATTCGGGAGGGAAGTCGGAAAAACTGGGGATTCTGTGCTCCAAATGTGCATCATTACAATACTGTAATGTCTTAAAAATAAAGAAAATAATGTACTATATACTGTACAGTATACAATACAGTGTTTTATAGTACAGTACAGTATTTTATAGTTTCATAGTATACTGTACTATAAAACTATAAAATAATAAAAATGAAGAGCATGGGTGTGTGTGGGTGTAGGAAGTGAACATATGTATTGAGGCAGTGAGCTGTAACTGTGGCCAGCCGCACTCTCCCTGCCCCTATGCAACGTCTTGGCATACAGGCAGCAGCCACACACGGCTCATGAGTCAGCTTGGTGACTGCCTGGATGAACTGTGTCATGTGTAAACAGTACCAGTAAATGTGAGGAATGAATAAAAATAATAATAATAAATATAAGATAAAAGAAAAAATACTGCTTTGCCATTTGGCAATCATTTCACGGAACGAGACAGAGAACAGGTGAGATATCCACCACACCGCTCCCCCTCCTCTCCCTTACCAGTGGTAGAAGCTGGGAAGCAGCGAAAGGAGATCGTAACACTATCAGTGAATTGTATTTGCTTCCTTCAAAAGTAGAAATGTTGGGCTTGATTGGATGGATGGAGGTGGATGTTGGAAGAGGAGGATTAGTCAGAGGAAGAGGATTAGTCTGAGGAAGAAAGAGAGGTAGGACTAGGTGGATTGTCTATTGCCATCTCATCATCATCTCTTCGTGGTGGTGGCCTTACACCAGAAGGACCTTGCTTTGGATCTCATGGCTACAAAAAATTCCACCAATGTCACCAAATGTACAACAAAGCAAAGAAAAACCTTGGAGCACTTTCAAAACAAGGCTTGGGGATGCGGGCAACTGTTAATGTGCGTGTATGTGGCACAGGCAAAAATGATGAATATTGAGAGAATGGGAGGCAGGCGGGAATTTTAAATGCTTATGCTCACAACCGATGGATTTCATCCGTGGAATCCTCTTAAGATCAAGGAATTTTTACGTATATAGTACAGTAGTTCTACAATTATTTGAGATTGTAACTGCGGATCCACAAATAATGAATACTCAGATAACGAGGAACCCCTGTACCTGTATGGGGCTAGGTTTTGAACCACCAGAATAAACCCCGATATTGCAAATATTTTACTTACAGTATCATTACAGTATATGAAGATAACTGTTTAGGGATAGTTAAATTTAATAATTTTTAAGCATCTGGATATAGAACATTGCTATTTTGTTTTTTACCTGTAATTGTAAATGTTAATATTTACTGGCAATTACCATATATGCGCTGTACTGGCATATCACAGAATTATTTGTCCTTTCCTACTCTACTGATATTTGTTTCCGTTATAATGAGAGTAAATATTGTTGGTAACCTGAGGGAGCATTTATATACTGTACTGTATCGTGAAATTAAGGGTTATAATCACTTGACCATATACAAAAAATTATATAAAATGAGGGCCAAATGTATGCATATAATCTGTGCCTTCTGCTGTGTGAAACCATGAAATACACTGAAAAATACTCGGCCAACTCCATCCTACAGATAATAACAAGCAGTAATATCCCCGTTAGCCGGAACAATTGGTGGAAAGCACTTCAGGTAATGAGAGATGGTAAAATTATCATTTTGGTCATCCACCTATTTGGAAATAGGTCAGAACCATTCAAGACACACTAAAAACCACCAGAAAAACATAATTTCAACCGAACCTAAACCTCTCAGATGGTGGTAACTTAAAATCCTAAAATTCGCTGGATGACCAAAGCGATAATAATACCCCGAGAGATTTTCTGGTAACGAGACGACTCGCAAAACCAGAAAAAATCCCCCATCCCTGGAATTTTTAGGGTTACTGGGAAAAGTTTTGGAATTTTCTGGAAATTGCGCATTGTTTCATCCTTGGAATTTCCTCTCAGAACCCCCCCCCCCCCAAGTCAGAATTTTCCAGAATTGCACATTATTTCATCCTTGGAATTTTCTCCTAGGCCAGGAAAATATTTTGGAGAGAATTTCTGGAATTTTTCTCAGAATACTGTATTCCAGAAAATGCGCCTGATTTTCAACCTTGGAAAATCTTTCCCAAACTCAGAATTGAGAGAAATTTTCTGGAAAAAATTCCAAGGATATTTCAATTTCGACTGTTGGAGAGTTCAGGCAAAGAGGGATACCGGCTAACAGAGATATTGTTATAGAATATTTTAAGAGGCAAACATCCTGAACCGATACCTCTAGTGCTTGGCTGTGAGTCTAAATTTCATAACCAGTCAGTCAATCTAAACTGTTAAATATTAAAAATGTTACCAGTAATTTATATCTAGTAACTTAAGACTGAAGACGAAAAGTTCACATAAAAACGTGAATTATTCCAGTTACCCTTGTGCTTTGTGTTGGCTTCACTATAGTACAGTATAAAGAGCATAGCTATCACTTATGGGTGTTTGTGTTGCACAAGCTCAGTGATTTTAGTTTTTACTCTAAAGTTTGGTTTAGTGGCTGCTCAAATGCCCCTATAATTTTTACCCAAGTTCTGCACATTGCTCTGATGATGACAGGCATTCCATATTCAATCTTGATCTAACATTGAATTATCATGAATCATGATGTCTACTGAGCTAAGGCCTCACTCACCTGGTACAGTAATGTTCTATATTGTGATGCTAGATATAAAATCAAATCATGTACATGTCTATACTTTTCATGTACAGTAATCCCCTAGGTTACAGAAGGGATGCATCTTTGAAAAGTTGACCGTAATGTGAACCTCTTTTTCTCATTGACTTTCATTATATACAGTAATTGGAGATGCATTCCTAAAGAAACTTTTTTGGCAAAATGGAGTAATACAAGCACACATCTTATGATTGAAAATAAAGATTTTTAAACATACCTGTACGGTATACATTGATTATTATATGATACACAAAACACTTGAATTTAACTCGCCACAAATGATGTTGAATGTTGCATGAGGTGAGGTGGTGCACTGGGAGTTATTGTGAGACTTATCAAGCTCTAATGTTTTTTAAATCTGGCTACATTTTTCTCCCACTTCAAACTCCATAAAACATTGTTTTATATCCAACATAATTAATTTACGGGCTCTTTTAGCACTATTGATTTCATTTGCACTTGATGGCCTCTTTCCACTCACCTTGTATAAGGGTAATACATTGGACAGTCTTGAATAATAAACGTAAATAAGTGTTAAATCCAAGAGCTGGGGTTGAGAGATCAAGCGTACAGGCTGGGAGATATTAACAAATTGAGTCCAGCATCATGGGTGTGCTGCATAGCCATGCTTGATGGTACCAAACACCAAGAAAGCCACACCAAATAAATTATAAAGTCAGTGAATTTATTTATTTTTTTTTTTTGTATACAGTATATCAATTTTTGTGTTGAAAATTGATCCCATTTCTGTAAGGTAAAATTTAAGGGCCGTATCCCGAGTTTAGTGATCATAATTTACAAATGCCGTATTGGTGAATTTCCGCAATCTGAGTTTCCATGATGTGGGGGATACCTACAGAAGGTATGGTAAGTTACATTAAATTAAAAGGTAAACACTAATGTTTATAGTTCACTGTAAGGTTGAACATTTCATAGTCTGAACAGTCTTGCATTTAATTGACCAGTAGTGGCATACCTAGCCCATGACAGCATGATATAACACCAGGGCATAACCAGTCAAATGAACTTACCATGTATGTAAATACTTTTCTGTACATATTACTAGATGTACTAAAGTTACTTTTACTTGCTAAAGTGTTCTTATAACACTTTCTTTTACCTTACAGAGTCCCTGGAATCAATATTTTGAAGACTCGGAGTTAAAGAAACTCATCAGGCAAGATGTGATAAGGACATTTCCCGAGGTTGAATTCTTCCAGTCCACTCGTATCAGAGATCTTATGGTCACTGTACTATTCTGTTATGCACGGCAACACCCAGACATAGGATATAGACAAGTGAGAGAAAGTTAACACATGGTGATTGATTAAATTAATTTATACATAATTTTTTAACTGTACTGCACTAGAAATATCAAACTGTTTTGAATTAAGGTTAATTAGTGAAAAGGTTTTGATTTATAGAACTTTTTTGTGAACAGGGTATGCATGAGGTACTTGCGCCATTGATCTTTGTGCTTCACTGCGACCACCAGGCTCACCAGCATGCTCGTGAGATGGACCCAACGCCGTAAGTACTCTAGAAATTAAAGTGTGTTGTTACTATGCTAATTTTACTATACAGTATATTCCTGTTGAATTATTATTACTCTACTGTACTTTTTTTTTCAACTTTATTCTCATTAAAAAACACAGTGATAGGATGGAACTCGTAAAAAAAATCTTGAGAGAGAATGTACAGGGGGCCCCCAAATTCGCGGGGGTTCGGTTCTCGAAATGGCTGCGAATCGCCTAATCCGCAAATGTTATTTGCGGACAATTATTTCTTTTACCTGTATTGTATATATATGTGTGTGTGTGTCTACACATACACACATGTTTACAGTACAGTACAGGAAATTGCTGTCTCTAGAACGAATGGCTCCCTGTTCCAGCCGCAAAAATGCCGGCAACTTTAAAACTAACCACAGACATTCTTGGGTACATCCAGGGTGTCATCTGCGAATATTAGAGGACCGCGAAATAAAAATCTGCAAACTTGAGGGGGGGGGTGGCGGCTGGCTTTATTCCTGTGTGGGTGAGAGTGAAAAATGAGGAATAAATGATTAGTGAGAGTGAGTGCTTCTGCTTGCATACTTAAGCTTGTATATGTGCCTATAACCATGTGGGTTTGGAATTTTATTTTTATTTTATTTATTTTTTTTCATTATTTTTTTTAATTGGGCACTCCCCTACATCCTTGTATAAGGTGAAGCGCAGAAGCGTTTACAGTGCCCAACAGGGAAGCATGCTAGTTCATGCTTGCTTTTATGTCTCATGAGTTAAGGGTGTAGAAGCCTGAAGAGTCAGTGGTTTATGTCATCAAGTTATTGGAAGCTCCAACAACTTGTCCCTAAATACGAATTCGCAACTTTCGACTTACACCAGGTACCTACTTTACTGCTAGGTGAACAGGGACTAATGGGGGCTAGGAAGTAAGTCCAAACAACTTCCACCGGCCCGGGAATCGAACCCGTGACATCTCGCTTGTGAGGCAAGAATGGTGCTGCTTCTACCACCGGTCCCCTCAGGTTTGGATGTGTGTGTGTGCCTATGACCATGTGTGTATAGATTTGTATATTTGCCTATGTATTACCAAGTGAGTATAGATGTGTATGAGTGTGTACTGTATATGCTTTCTGTTTATTGCATGCACTTATTTTCTTGTCTCTTTTGTGCATATACAGTACATGTAAAGGGGTGAGTAATTGCTTCATATCACTCCTGTTTTTACCAAAGAACTTTAAACTGATTTTTTTTTTTACCTTTCCAGCCTACATTTTACTCAAGGGAATTATTAGTTTCTTTTTTCATCTCATCCTACCTTGTTCATCATAGGCATGAAATATGTGTACAGGAATACTGCCTATTTTTCCACAATATAGTAGTCATGTTGCAGTATATTATGCTAAGAAGTAAAGCTGGGTAAACTCAGAAATAGAATTTAATTTCAATACCTGTATTATCCCGGCAAGCTGTAACAATTTGTGTGATTGGGTTGTTACCCAGGAAGCATGGTTGTACACTGAGCTGTGGTGTAGAGGAAACTCACCAGAATTTATGTCAAGTATAGCCAGACACAGTGGTCATTTCATGTGTAAAGTCTGTTAGTCATCTGGTGTCAGTGCTTCCTTTGCACATTCATTGTGCTATTCTTTTTGAGTTCTTTTGGTTTCATAACTAATCCTTATTTTTATATGCACCAGCACCAGCAAATCTTAGCCCAGTGTTAAGCTCTATAAAAACGGTGTTCGAGCGAATCCGCGTTGAACAAACCTGTGTTAAGCGAGGTGGCAGTGTATGTTCAGAGTACACTGTCCTACACCTTTCATGACACCTAGAGGTGTAGTGATATTCTCATTAGCCAAAATAATAATTTGGTGCAAAGCTCTTCTGGGGATGAGAGATTTCCGGGTAATGAGATTATTCTCTCAAACCCCGAAAAATCCCACATCCCTGTAATTTTTCCGGGTACTGTAAAAAAGGTTCTCTGAATTTTCCATAATTACATGTTATTTCATCCCCATAATTTGGTCCCAGACCTATGAAAAAACTGAGAGAGTTTTTGGAATTTTCCAGAATGACGCATTATTTCAGCCTCAGAATTTGCTCCCAGACCCAGAAAAAATTAATTTTCCAGAAAATGTTCCCAATTTTCAGATTCAGAATTTGCTCTGTCCTGCTAAAAAAAAAAAAAATTCGAGATTTTCCAGAATTTAATTGGACCTTCCTCAGAAAATGGGCCTGATTTTCAACCTCAGAAACTCATTCACAGATCCAGCGTGGAGAAAGTTTTCACAGAAAAAATCTGAGCCAATTCCAATTCAGGGTATTGGAGAGTTCCAGCTAACAGATATATTACATGTGCTGTAACTGAAGCAACCACTGAGTACCCCTTTACACATTCTTTGCTCGACAACCTGGAGAGAGAATAGGGGAGAGGGTGTGTATAAAATACCCCTTATTACATTGATATACTGATACCGAAACAGTTAAATTGGCAGAAGAACACAGATACAGAGTTGAAATAAAATTCATAATATTAACATGGCTGCACCATTTGAGAGCCTGAGCGCTCTTGTGGGCACCTGATATATACTGTACATTTATCACAAGGAAGCATTAATGGGCAGGTTGATAAAAAACAATATGTTTTAAGGACTTGACCCCTTTGCTATGGGATGCCATTTTCAATATTTTATTTGGTTAATACCATATGATTTTATTCAGCTCAGAGGTAGCTCCAAAATAAGGGTTAATGCTGCTGACTGTGGCAAAAATGCAGTAGAGACTACAGGTAGACAACCTTTTATCCAAAATTCCGAAAACCGAAAAGCTCTGAAAACGAAAGTTTTTTTTTGTGGGGCAATTTTTTATATATATATATATATATATATATATATATATATATATATATATATATATATATATATATAT